GATTAATTTTCTAATTAATTAAATAATTTTCTAATTAATTAAATAATTTTCTAATTGATTGCAAGATATTATTTTGACATAATATCTTGCAATTACATCCAAAAACCACCATAAGTGGCCAAACCCTTTTTCTCCAAATAGGTGTCGGCTACTTCCCTATAAATAGCTCTCATTTCTCCCAAAAACCTAAGTTCATTCTTCTCCAAAAATTCTCTAAACACTTTCTTTCTCAAATTCTAACTTTGGCATCAGAGGTTCTTCGGCCAAAGCCCCTCATTCATCGTGGGCGTGTGAGGCTCTTGGCCTTGACTTAAAGTGTTAATTGTTTTGCAGGTGCATTTTCGTCCAAGAATAAGAAGGCAGAAATTTGCAACCACAAATTGGTGTTTTCATTGAGAGTTTGATTCACACGCAGCACCACTATGGTAGCTACGGGGACCACCATGGCAGTGAGGAGTGGGCCAGCTCGATGGTAGCAGACCATAGCCTTATGCGCTGCCACTACAACAGCCCAAACCCAGGACCAAGCATAGGCCTAAGCGCTAGCAGCAGCCGCACAAGTATCACAGCAGGTGGCCCAATCTCCAGCCCATGTTGCAGGGCAGCCAAGCCATGCCCAGCACGAGCAAGCCCAAGACGCATTGCAGGCCTGAGCTGCGCTGACCATTCCTTTGGCCTAAATCTAATGCGCTCTCACCGCCGCACCTCGCCCACGCGCCCCGCACATGACACGACCCACTTTCGAGACCCAACCCACTCCTGTGGCTCACTTGGTGTTCCTGACTAGTCCAAGACCGGTTCAACAGTCTTGGATTCAGATTTCTAGACCAACGATTAAACTGGGGATATTTTCATCCCATTTATCCGCAGATTTGACATTTCCCAACTCAAATCTTGCGCCCAAAGTCCACTACACTTCCGCTACTCAAGGAGACACATACCGTCTAAGCTCTTCCCACCCGAATGACGAACCACACTTGTCTTGACAAGTAAAAGAGTTGACAAGCGTCCTCGCACAACATACGACTTTGGTGAATCAGCTCTTGCAATGCACCGAGATGCAACGTGCTTTAGACGAGGTTTCCCGAAGCATGACAAAGGCAGACGACGAACCTCTCCAGCAGCGTCCAGGCAAATAGCCTCTCAACCAGGCCATGATCCGGGCGTTCTAGCAGTTGACGCTCCCGCATGGATCCTCGAGATAGCATATACTCTCATCTTAGCACGCGGATGAGCGTGCACTCCCAATCAAGCCCACAAATGAGCATACGTTCACGGTTGAGGCCACACTCTGATTATCAACATGGACAACCTTCTAGGCGAAGTGTTTATTCACAACTAGGCTCGCAAAGAGCATTTTTCACCTCACATTGGAGTAGGCAAAATGGTGGATGGAGAGAAGTAGTCCCTCAATCTGGCTCAAGTTCAACCGGTAGCCTGCAATTAGCCCGCTCACTTGCCATGAACGTGCCACATGCACCGCAGCCACGACATAGACGAGTCGAGCATAAGAAAGAGCGGCCTAGACCAATAGGTCACGACCGGGGGCAGCCGAAAGTTCCATAGCCCCATCAGAGGCAAATTCAAGAAGAAGTTGAGAGGCTCCTAATTGAACGATTACGCGATTTCCAGTGCAACGAGGCTACTGACGATGCTTTTCAACGAAACATGACCAACATAAGCAGGTCACCATTCATGCATAAGATTGAACAGACAGATCCACCTCGCGGGTTTACTATGCCTCACTTTACTCCATACAAGGGAGATGAAGATCCGGACCAACATCTCAAGCACTACTGTAGTACCATGATCCTCTACAGGAACAACAACGCGCTTTTGTGCAAATTTTTTGCAACAACTCTACAAGGCGAGGTGCAAGACTGGTTTCACACACTGCCGCCATAGTCGATTCGGAGTTTCAACGAACTTTCCTTAGTTTTCACTAAGGAATATTCGTCTAACCGCTCAATCAAAAGGACATCCGATCATCTCTTCAGCATCGTAAAAGGCCATTAGGAGACAATTCGCGACTATATCAAAAGGTTCAAAGCAGAGAAGGCCAAGATTATTGGCTATATCGAAGGCATAGCAACGACAACATTCAAAAATAGGCTTCTCATCGAACACCCTTTATTCGAAAAATTGATCATGGGAGAAGAACTGACCATGGCAGCTTTGTATGCTTTGGCGGATAAGCACGCATTATGGGACGAGGTCAAGCAGTCTAACAAAAATGAGTCAGTAAAGAAGCATCATTCGACCAGAGAAGACTCAGCGCTCGAAACATTCACCAAGTTCACAGTTCTAAGTAAGCTCAAGAACACCACCTATGAAGAGCGATCTTACCAGGCTGGATCAGACAAAATATTGTGCATTCCATCAAGGACCAAGCCACACTACCAACGGCTGCTAGAAATGGAAGCAGTACCTTGAGAAGCTAACAAATGAGGGCTGGTGCGACGAGTATCTTGACAAGTCAACGACACAACCTACATAAGCAAAGGAAATCTCCATCACCCCCTGAACCCCGTTAGTGTTTTTCCAAATAAGTTTAGTAGCTCGATGAACAAAACCTCACAAGTCGAGGATTATCCAATTTGTTATGCAATTTCTACCTTCCAGCACGGTTGATCCATTTCTTTATTCTCAATGAAGATTCAAGAAGTTATTCATAAGCTTGGCTCAACTGCTGTCTACAACAACTGCTCAAACCCCTATCTGGGTCTGCTCTCCAGTGCGAGAGGATAAATTAATTACTATCCAATGCGAGAGGGGAAACTAATTCCCCGACACCCATCTGGGTTTGCTCTCCATTGCAAGAGGATAAACTAATTCCCCGACACCCATCTGGGTTTGCTCTCCAGTACGAGAGGATAAACTAATTGCTCTCCAGTGTGTGAAGGTAAACTAATTGCTCTCAAGTGCGAGAGGGTAAACTAATTGTTCTTCAATGCTAGAGGGTGAACTAATTGCTCTCCAGTACGAGAGGGTAAACTAATTCCCCGACACCCATCTGGGTAAGCTCTCCAGTGCGAGAAGGCCACATAACTCAAAAAATCGAATGCTTGAATACCAACTAGGCATCAAATGGTCAGGGCGCAACAACCACTGTAGACTTAACAGTTCGCTTATCCGACACTTCATCTTTAATTGCTCCGATCTTGACAACTCTATCCTTGACTGCTCTATGTACGACAGCTGAGAAATCAAACTCAAACAGTTTCCTCATTTTTGGCAAGCAGCTCATGCCACGCCACTTCCTCGGCCCATGTCGAGCCAGTCCTTGGCTTCAGCCAAGCCGAGCAGCACAAGCAATGACCCCTACCACACCACCTCTTTGCCCCATGCCAAGTCAACTCCTGGCCCCTGCTAGCCGACGTTTCGCACCACCCCGACAGTTGTCCCGTGGCAACACCACCCAAGAAGAAGACAAGGAAAATTAAGTTTTTCTTACATCGGTGCAGCGCTGAGAAGACAAAGAAATCAACGGAAGACTGTTCTTTACACGTGCAAGCAAAGAAGAGTGCTAGGGGAGGGGGAACAAATATCCTCTAGTTTTCTCTCTTTCTTATAGGGATAAATAATTGCCCTCCGAAGTTGATTTAATCCCCTACTTAAGGTAGGCTTAAATAGGCTTTGGAGGTGATTTATTTCCCTTTCCTAGAAGAATCTAATTCCAAGTCCAAGTGAGAAGCTGCATCAAAGCTGGAGATCTTTACACCTGTTGCCCTTTCCTATGACCAGCCCAACAGATGTGCGGTATTTGTGGAGTAAGAAATAATCAAGAAAGTTATGGAGGCGACACGTGTACTTTTGGGTGAAAATGACAAAATTACCCTCAAGCTACACCGAAACTTCCACAAACAAGTAGCGGACAATCACGACTCAATCAAGGTCAAAAGTGATCAAAATAGGTATTTATTCAAAATCTATATCATTCATCCACATCACATCCTCCACACAAGGTAACCCTCATTTATTCATTCAAATTAGGATTAATTACCTAAATTAATTGATTAATTTCCTAATTAATTAATTAATTTCCTAATTGATTGCAACATATTATTTTGACATAATATCTTTCAATTACACCCAAAAACCACCATAAGTGGCCAGATCCCTTTTCTCCAAATAGGGGGGCCGGCCACACCCCTATAAATAGCTCCCATTTCTGCCAAAAACCTAAGTTCATTCTTCTCCAAAAATTCTCTATACACTTTCTCTCTCAAATTCTAACTTTGGCATCAGAGGTTCTTTGGCCAAAGCCCCTATAGTGTGGTGGAACGCGGTTTTTTCTTTGAATGGTTCAAATTCCGCCTCAACAAATTCTATTTCTTTCTTGCACGAATAGAGATGAAGGTCGAGATTCCACAGCACCACAACAATTCAATGAGCGAGCCAACTTCATCTCTGAACTCAAGTCTTCACTTTGACCTGTGTATCCTATCAATGGAAGGGTGCTCGACGTGACCAAACTTTAGAACTCTTTCTTGACAATTGGCTTTTTTTGGGTATGATTGGGTACCCAAAACTAATTGAAATTTGAAAGCAGAAGAAAAGTGGAGAAAAAGAAAATGCAAACCACAAAACTCAAAAGTGTAATTGTATCAGTATCAATGTGACTCCATGTTGTGCGGTCATCAGAAATGCTATCATGGTTATATATGCACATTGCCATGCATTTTTTTCTTCATCTATTCAAATTTGAATAATCAATAAAAGAATTATAGTTTGAAAGTTTCCACTGATGTTGTCAAGATTAAAGATGCATAGCAAATTGTGTTCTTAAGAATTCAACGTGTGGTATATTGGGTATATGTCTAATATGGACAACCAAAAGAGCAACACAGAAGGATTCAATATTAAAACAACTTTTGGTTTTCTTACAGTAATTTTTTATTTTCTTTTCTTTTACAAATTAAATATAGAGTAATCATATGTATATGATTTAGTATTCAAGTAATGCGTACTAAATTTAATACATTGTTCACGTATCTTTTCTAGATATGGAATAACTGGGAAGTAATGAGGAATGCAACATCCCTATATAACATGGTCAAAAAGTTTGTCGAAGATACTAAATAAGGAAGTTCAATTTCAGTAGAGGTTAATGCTTTTCCGCAACGAACAATTTCGTCTTGTACTTGTGTGAGTATTTGGGAGACCGATTTGTCATTATCTTTCATCCCTCGTATTGAGAAAATGAAACCATCTACTGCAAAATCATATGAATCTGCACATTGTTTTACTGCTCCAGAGCCCTTAACAATATTGTTGTCGGTGGTGTTGAGCGCATTGACAAAGAAAGCTTTGCTTTGTTGTGCGTTTGTTAGTGCTAATTTAAGAATGGCTGTGTCAAGATCTTTGAGATTAGATGCTGATCGAGTTGGAATATCTTTCCAAAGAGATTTTACGCATTGCTTGTAGTTGTAGCCGAATTGGTCTTGGGTTTGCTTGCAAACGCTTCTAATTAATGGAGAGGCTCTTGCATTTGCAAATGGTGTTGGAGACGATGAAAGACATAAGAGCAATGATGCAATGAAAGTTGCATATCCGGTTGAGGAGTCCATTTCTCAAGGTGTATGTTTCTTAAATTGAAAAAGTGATTACAAATATTTGTTTGATTTATGGAATGGATGAACGGAGATCATATTTATAAACAACTCAAGGAGCGGGAATGGGTCTAAATTTAGGGGTGCAGAGGTAAAGAAACCCATTTCTTTTGGCGTGACTAGTTTTTTGGTTCTTTAGTTTTTATTTTTTCTTTAACGTACTAACTGATAACACACTGGATGCAAACCACCTAACCTTTTCTAGTTTAATTAACCAACTCCTCATTTCTAGAAACTCCAACATAACCAAAAATTGATGCATGCTTATCAAAAGGATTTTTTCATTACATCGCAAGGATTAATTTAAGTCATTTCATTTGTTTTTTAACTGATTCTTTTACATCCATATTTACTTATCAATATATATGATGTTAGAAGAATCTAAAAAATTCAGATTGATGGTATTAGAGGAGTTTCTTTTAGCCCATTTCGTCGTGTTTGGTTAGTAGCTTAGGAGGATCGAGCCCTATTAAGCGAGGTTACGATAGGCGGCCTATGAGCGTGGGGACATGGACCCCTAACCTGGAACTCCAGTGTCTCATCCGGCCTCCGGAAAGTTTATGGAACCTAAGGGTTGTGGATTATAACATCCAAACTTGGGCTTTACAGCATTCGAAGGAATAATCAAAAGGGCGTTTTGATAATCAGTTGAGGGAGCATAATCAATAAATTTTGTGTTTGATTTCCAGACATATTCCGTTGACACCAATGTTTTAAATATCGCTAGATCGTTATCGAGCGGCGGGTAGGGTTCTAACTAGTTGCCTAAGGTTTTTTTTTATCTTAATTAAATTTATTATATGACATACAAATAAGTGCATATATATATTTAAAAAAAATAAATAAGTGAAAATTATAATTGTAATGGGGAAACTTAAAATGAAAAATATAAATATAAATAAATTGTATAATGTAAACATCAAAGAACTATCGCAAAAAGAGACGACCACATCGCATTATTGGTTTCCTTTTTCTGTCTGGGAAAGGGTGAGTCAAGACTCAAAGTTAATTAAACAAAACAAAACAAACATTTATTCTGCCTAAACCCACGTAGGTGCCATACTTGATTTTCTAACCATTTAGTAATTAATCGTGGTGCTGGCTAGCTGTCTAGACTACTTTTTAGAACATCGATTCACACTGCTTTCATCAATCTATATAATTAAAAATAAAATTAAAAACTTAAAACGAATTGGTTATCAAACTAGCTCTTAAGTTTTAATTTTGTACCAAAATGTAGTGAGGGCTTATAGAAACCTAATGTAACTATCGGAGTTGAAGCCCATATTGAAAGTTATCAATTTGTTTTTGCTACAACAGATGTGATCGATATTAAAGTTTTACTAGTCTCTAAAAGTGGAATACGACTTGTTGGAATGCACCCACTAGTTTTCCAATGGCAGAAAGTACTACCCTTGGCTTCTAGGAAGTTAGCATATTGCCACCGGACCTTGAGTTGGAAGTGGTGTGGTGATGCGCGGTCCTTTTCTTTGAGTTGTTGAAATTCCCACCTGCCTCAACATATCATGTCGCTTTCTTGCACGGACGGAGATGGAGGTCGAGATTCCCACAGCACCACGACAATTCATTGAGCGAACCAACTTCATCTCTGAAATCAAGTCTTCCTTTTGACTCATGTATCCTATCAACGGAAGGGTGCTCAACGGACCAATCTTTAGATCTCTTTCTTGCCAATTGGCTTTTTCTTTGTGAGATTGTATACCCAAAACTCATTGAAAACTGAAAGCAGTAGAAAAGTGGAGAAAAAGAAAATCCAAACCTCAAAGTGTAATTGTATCAGTATCAATGTGACTCCATGTTGTGCAGTCATTTGAAATGCTATTATGGTTATATATGCACATTGCCATGCGTTCTTTTCTTCATCTTTTCAAATTTGAATAATCAACAAAGAATTAGAGTTTGAAAGTTTCCACTGATGCTGTCAAGATTAAAGATACATAGCAAATTGTATTCTTAAGAATTCACACTACAAGAAAAGTGGGCTAAGAACACAATTGATCTGTGTCCTTTTCATTTTCATTGAGCACCAATACATATCTGTGCGTGTTGAGTATCATTGAACACAAAACTATTTTATATGTGCTCTCTAAGCAAAAAGAACACTGGTTTGTGCCAAAAATGAAGTGTATTTGTGCCTACTTGCATGTGTCACCCTTATAAATGTTAGAAATAAGATTTGTTTGTTAATTTACGAAAGCACAATAAAAGATTTTGTGCTCTCCGATGTAATATATTTAAATTAAAAGTAAGTTTTCATGTCATTGCTTTTACTTTTTCCCATTCTCAATTCCTTTACATTTAGGGCGCGTTTACGTAAAGGTAATGAGAATCAAGAAACGGAATTGAATTCCGATTACGGCTTACACCGGTGTTTACTAACGTGAGAGGAATCAAAAATCGTGTGGGACCCAGTTGAATTCCGGAATCACACTCCGAAATTTCCTGGAGTCGGATTCTCTAGCAACAGGTGGTAATTGAATTCCTTGTATTGCTATCCTCCAGGAATCATACTTTTGTTCCTAAATTACCCTCTTAATTCGTCTTCTGCAAATCCACCCAAATTGGGAGGTCGCATGGGTGGTGGGAGGACATGTGAATATGGGAGGCAGTGGGAGGATCTGTGAATATCGGAGGTTGTGGGGGCTGGGGAAGAAGAGGATATGAAGGATTGGGGAGCGTGGAGGACCTATGAGTATGATGGGTGGTGGGAAGGGTTGTGCGCGGTGGGAAAGAAGAAGGCAGCAAGGATGAAACGAAGAGGCATGGGAGACTGGGGGTGCTCTGGAAGTCGAAGAAAAGATGGGGATGAGAGGAAACGGAGAGGCATGGGAGATCAACTGGGGGTGCTCTGGAAGAAGGTAAAGAAAAGATGGGGATGAGAGGAAACGGAGAGGCATGGGAGGTCGACCGGGGGTGCTCTGGAATAAGGTGTAGGAAAGATAGAGATAGGAGGATGGGAGGAAGAAAAGTCAAGTTTGTAAAGATAAATTTAATTTTATATAAATAAACTTAATTTTCAATAATTATAGCATAAAAATCATTTATTTTCAACAAGGACAATTTAGTATTTACATTACTTGGAACAAGGGCATTTTAGTAATCATACTGGTTTACATTCCGATTCTGCTGAATTAGTAAACAGCTTTATGGAATTCTATTCCGATTCCAGACAGTTTTAGTAAACAACTTCAACAGGAATCCGATTCTGATTCCGCCTTATTTCATTTCCTCCCTAATCCAATTCCTCCTCAATTCAATTCCTTCCAATTTGATTACGGATTAGTAAACGCGCCATTAGTTCACGCCTTTCCTCTCTCACCCTCTCTCTTAAACTCTACTCTTTGTCCTCCTCAGCAGTCTTCCTTTCTCCCCTATCCTCTCTTTCCCTCCTCTTTCATACAACAAAGTCGTTGTCCACCCATCACCAACGACCGTCTAATTATACCTCTAGAATCCTCTTGTCGACCTCTGTCTCTCTCTCCGACTCCCTTTCTCTCTCTACCTTCCCAGATTCGGTCCATCTCTCTTCCTTTTCCCGATCTGATGGTTTTTGATGAACCAATCCAAGGCATAACTCCCAGATTCGGACCATCTTTATTCTCTACATTCCCAAATCCTAGATTCGGTCTCTCTCTCTAATTCTCTCTTATTTGATTTGATTTTCAAAAAATATATAGATCTACTTGATTTTCTTTCCTACTATTGTCTTCTTCAAGCTACATCGATCTAGATAGTCAGAAAGATGTGGGCAAGCAAAAAAGGAGGGTCGCCGGAGGCCACCCTAGAAACTACCATTGGCATCTTCACCATTGATAAATTCTCCTTTTTCCCAACTTTCCCTTCAATTTTCTTTCACTTTCTTAGTAACCAAATGGACAATTCAATTTTCTTTCACTTTCACTGTGCAGGTTCGCTTAAAACCTTAATATTTGATGTTCTTATTCATAAGAGAACCGATATTCACTTAAAACCTTTATAATTTTAGTTTTATTTTAGTTGGGGATAGAACATGTAAAATTATAGTTGTTTTTATATATAATGGTTGTGAATATCTTTGTAAGTTGTAATATTATAGATGCTTGTGGTTGTGGGCTGTTTTAATTTTATGAAAAAATAATTTTTTGTTTAGCCTCAAATCTCAATTTGTAGGTGATTTCAGTTTTTAATTTTTTTTGAAATAGTTGACATATTGGGCACAATAACAATAAATGTGCTAACATACATGGGTGGCAGCAGTCATTTGACAACTTTGTAAGAACTTGGCACAAAATGACCTTTATTTGTGCTTAACTTTTCAGCACAGCATACCTTATTGTGCTCTTTGACAAATGGTGACACTCATAGAGGGCACATACAATATTTTAGTTGCTGCACTGTTGCTATTGGTTCATGGGCACAATTGTTGGTGCTCTTTGGCCTCAAAGGGCATATATAATTTATTGTGCGCAGTGCCCATAATTATTGTAGGGTCAAGGTGTAGTATATCTAGGTATATGTGTAGTATATATGGACAACCAAAATAACAACATAGAATGATCCAATATTAAAACAATTTTTTGTTTTCTTACATTAATTTTTCATTCTTTCCTTTTCTTTTACAAATTAAACATACATTAATTATATGTATATTTTTTAGTATTTAAGTAATGCGTACTGAATTTAATACATTGTTCACGTATCTTTTCTAGATATGGAATAACTGGGAAGTAATGAGGAATGCAACATCCCTATATAACATGGTCAAAAAGTTTGTCGAAGATTCTAAATAAGGAAGTTCAATTTCGGTAGAGGTCAATGCCTTTTCGCAACGAACAATTTCATCTTGTACTTGTGTGAGTATTTCGGAGACTGATTTGTCATTATCTTTGATCCCTCTCACTGAGAAAGCGAAACCGTCTACTGCAAAATCATATGAATCCGCACATTGTTTTACTGCT